AAATTATGCGATTCATCATGCGGTTTAATACATTTATTAGGACAGTGATAATCACTTTTCTGTAAGGAACATGCCTTCCCACAATAATGACGTGACGATTGACATAAACGTTTACCACCATGTCCAATTTCCTTTGAGCAAACCAACAGGCAATAGCAAGATCACTCAGTTTACCACATGAGTGTTTTACTTTATCACAAACATGCCATGCTTTCCTTCATGTTCAGCATTGTACATGCATTTTGGAACTAATCTATTGTTGTGAGCTTCAACAAATTTGGCAAAAAGAATGACATTTATGGTCCGTTAAACAATCATGTTCTTTTGATCAAGATTTTCGACACATTAATCACATTGTTAACACGTTAATCCACACAATGACCATAGAGGCGTAAGTTTACTTGTTTCTTGCTCCATTGCATATTTTCCATTAATAATTTCGCTATAGTTTTGTGAGACTTAGCAGTATTTTGAGTAAACCATTCTTGAACACGTGAAACACGACGCTTAATAATATATCAAAATTGAAGAACCTGTTGTCACCAGAAAAGTCTTTTCGTGATTGTATATTTTCTTCAAAGTAACGTTTTAATCTTCAGAAAGTTGGACAAAAGGTTCATGTTCGTCATATAATTTAACATCAAAATCTAGCAATACTTCAACAGACTCATTAAAATCGTGTAAAATTTCAGAACATTTGACTATCGGATCATCAATTCTTTTTCCAGTGTCTTAATTCTATTGAAATTCAAATTTTAGTCAAACATTTCAAAAATATTAAATAGATATTTATTACCATAAGTTGTCTAGCAATATCACCGTTTTGTTCCATTTCATGGGAAACCGCACATGGAAATAATCTCATTAAATATCTCGAGTAAAATTGATCTGTCTACCAACAAGAACGGATGATTTATCGGGATGATCATCTGAAGATGCTGCAGATTCAAATTTAACCTGTCCGGTTGATTTTTCAAGACTTTGTTGAAGTTGATATTTCGCTTTTTTATCGTCCACAATTTTTAACGATTAATGCTTGTGAAACACCATTATTGATGTCAATTGTTGTAAGATAAAATTGACGGTTTTGTAATATAGTAAATTTAAAATATTTCAAGGATTGCATACTTGAGGGCATTCCAACAACTAACAAATTTTTTAAAATAAGGTGAAAATTAAATTAAAATTATAAAAAATAAAAATAAAAACATAACATAATGATTACCTTTATTTGCTGGTTTCCAAATTCTGTATAAAATATACATGCTGTATAAATTAACTCTATGCTTGAGGGATTCATCACTTTTTTGTGGCGTGCCATCGACATGATTTTGTCGAGTAATTTCTGATGATTCAACTTCTGAAAATAAAGATTGCTGTTGCTCTTTTACAAATGCAACTATACAAATGCCATCAGGTGTACTTAAAATTTTGGTGGAAT